AGGGACGCAGACGTCTACGAAATCCCTATTCGTACCGTCAGCAGTGAAAAAGAACCAGCTCATGCAGCGCATAGTCCTGAGGACTCAGACCCCTTGGAAGATGAGATTCGCCAAGCAATCGATAAATTCCGGCAGAAAATGTACTCATCCAATAAGCAATTCATCAACGACCGTATCAAGGAAATTGAAGAGCTCAACTTGCCTGACGAAAGGGCAAAGTTAAATGTCATGGCTCGTTACTGGTGCAGAAGCAGTGAATGGCCGAAAGAGCTTCCCCAACCTCAACTCCCCCAATATATGAAAGATCAGACGCTCCACGAGCTAGCAGTTACCCGGTTGGAAGAGGTAAAAGACCTTTTCCATCCATATATGGATGGAATCGATCCCCCTTTGCTTGATGACCAACAGCGACAGCTTCTTCTGGAAAAGCTTGAGAATGTCAGCAATGAGTACGCCAAGACCGAGGGTGAATTTCGCATTAGAGCAACTAAAGATCTCGATATCTTTCTCAAATACGCCAATGGGGTTCATGACCCCGATTTTCGCTGTGAAGCAATATGTAAATGGGACCCGGGAATGAGGTACTCTCTCAAAAACTGCTTCATAGAAATTGAGGATTTGGCTTGGGGTCAGTTTGATTAGAACCCCCGTGAGACGAAAGTTGCCATCGAGATGGGTATCAACTGCACAGGGGATGAGTTTTTTTTTTTTTTTTTAGCTACTATGCATACTGTCAACCAACAAGCGGCAGGTCAGAGGGAGACTCAAATGATGGCTGGGCCTGGCGAATTATATTTTACACCGATAGATACAACATGATGGATGAGATGCCCTACGTTTTTGATACCATTCCAGATTTCTTGGAATGGTATGGCAGTTGGCCAGACCGTCTGGACATGAAGGAGATGTATCGGAACATATATGAAAACCGGTGTAGTAACTTTCGTACTACTTTGGTCCCTGAAGATTGTATTAACTATGATGAATAGGATAAATTTAACTATCTTCTGATTTCTAAGTTTAATAGGACTCGTAGTAGCAGAATGACTTAACAAAGGTACTTGAATTAAAAGTTTGAATATCTTAGGTGAGTGGTGTTGGCAAGTTTGTATTCTCTACCAACATCAGCGTTGTTTATCAGAACATGATCAAGAGTTGACTGTCGGCTTGCAGACAACAGGACACGAGCAGTCGAGGCATGCATATCTTGCACCTTTTGAATTTTCTCCTGACTTGTCCAATACAATGAATCTCCGCCGTAAGCTTGAGATAGGGGGTAACGTGATTCCCACATTATTACTATAACGTGGCAGGTGGAAAGTGAAAGGCGGGAGGGCGGGAAGACGGTAAGCGGCAGGTGGTGGGGTTCGCCAGCAGGGTGGGGAGAGTTTGTCTGCGGGTTCTGCCGTACTACGTAGGTCTTGGAACGAGAGTATTACCAAACCACCGAGGAACGTCATTGCAATTGAAGCGGAATTTGAAGGGCAGACTTAAAGATGGCAGCCCTTTGTTTTTTCTTTAGTCTCAATAATTTATTACAACAGAATCAAGCCACCTGAAAATAGAAATTCAGCTCCCACTTGAAAATGAGCAACCTTGCAGACCCAGCGTTTCGTGAAGTAAAAGAGCCCCAAGGCGGACCGCAGGTTTCTTCGTCTGATCTTTTCCGTCTGAACAACAGAACAATCGTGGGTAAGTTCTGCCTCTGATGTCGCATTAGATTCAGGTGTGTATGCTGAAATGGCACCTACCGCAGTCACTGGCGCGGCCGGCTTCTTAGGACGTGAGGTGGCTGGTTCCATCCTTGAAGCAGGCGGAGACGTGGTCTGCCTTGACGTGGTCCCGACTCCGCCTCCCGAATCATGGGGTAAGTGACACCCTGAACATTGGTTAGTCTGCGGTGGGAGGAGGCTAAAACATTGGCTCCAAGAACATCTTGAAGGCGTGGCTAAGACGCATGGTGGAGTCATCCGCTACCTCCGCGTCGACATCACCAATCATGATAACATCTCCGAGACCTTTGCCTCGTTCGTTCCCAATTTGAGGCACCCCATTCGAGGGCTCGTGGCATGTGCCGGTGTTTCCGACAATGACCCTGCACACGAATTCTCCGCAGAGAGATTTCAGCGCCTGTTGGAGATCAATGTCGTTGGAACATTCTCAGTTGCTCAAGCTGTGGCATTGGAGATGAAGAAAGCAGATGTTAGCGGCAGCATGGTTCTCGTGGCGAGCATGAGTGGCACTGTTGCAAATAAGGTATGACCTGCACAAAGGACAGTTGCACGGCAATTATGTGCTAACAAAGGTAATGGTTATTAGGGAGTGGACACTGCGGCATACAATACTTCCAAGTCGGGTGTGCTGCAACTCGCAAGGTCTTTGGCAGCTGAATGGGGATCCCGGAAGGGTATGCCTCTGATTCGAGTGAACACCTTGTCGCCTGGCTATATTCGAACTGCTGCAACTGCGGAGGCACTGAAGAAGCCAGGTATGGAGAGCCAGTGGACTGGGGATAATATGCTCTACCGATTGAGTACAGTGGATGAATTTCGAGGGCCCGTACTGTTTTTGCTTGGGGATGCCAGTAGCTTCATGACTGGTGCAGACCTACGGGTTGATGGAGGGCACTGTGCTTGGTAGATGGAGTGTCTGCCAATCCAGTCCGGGTCGGTCTTGATCCATTTCTTCCCAACCTGGCTTGAGGACAGACTGGGCTGGGCTCTGACCTCTTCTATTATATATATATATATAGAGGTGAAATTATATAGTTAGAAAATAAAATAAAATACAAGAAATAAAATCTTGAGCATAAGTAATAGACTGTATAGGGCGTCCGCTAGTCCGGTCCAGGTTGGTCTTGACCTCCCTGTTCCTCATAACCCTAACCCGGCTTGGGGGTGGTCAGGGTCGGTTTCTAGGCTCTACCACCGTCCTTACTTTTCACCCCAGACCGGATGGAGTTACGCTAAGAGCTATAACTATATCTATATTGATAATGTATTGTAAACAAATCTACAAATAGCCTCTGCTACAACAACTCCATCATGTTCAATTCCTGCTTGCAACAGCTTACTTTTTGCAAAGCCTTCTTCAAAAATACCCTGGCTGTACCGCATCTCAATCATACTCCTGATGACAAACTCATTATGCTCTGGATGTCCTTGTACAGTTAGGATCCGCTGTGGCATGTACAACCCTTGTACCTGACATTTGGGTGTTGATCCTACATTCACACACCCCACCGGTACCTCGTATGCGATATCTCGGTGCATCTGGTGCAGAGCCTGCGGAGGCAACCTGTTAGCCAACAACCAATGTCTTCGTCTCATGGAGCTAGAAATGGCCTTGTTCATGGCATACCAAAATCTCCTTGCCGAACAGCAACCGTCCTGTTTCATTCAGCGCAATTGGTTCCACGGCGATCTCCCACCCTTCGCTACCTCGCCCGACGGGAGCACCCAGTGCCCGGGCGATAATCTGATGGCCAAAGCAAACACCCAGGATTGGCTTGGTGGTCTCCTTGAAGACCTTTGCCACGTACTTTGTCAATTCGATGATCCATTCAGTGTCGGAAAATGCATCCCATTCTGTGCTTGTCAGTCCTAAGCCTCTGGGCGGAGTGGCGTCATTGTTGGGTCGGGTTTCGACATACTGCTTCCAGTCAAGAGAAGAGCGTCGTACGTCTCCGGGCTAGGAAAGACAAAATTGTCCACTGCGCTCGTCTTTGTCATTTTCAGACCGACTTGGTTCTCCCAGTTCAGGCTCTTGAGCCCTGCGTTCAGGAGCCGCTCGAACATATCCCCGTAGCTGCCCAGGCGCTCCCGCACAGGATCTATTGGAGAGTCGCATTCAATGACAGCGATGCGCATCGTGGTGATCCTGGTGGAAGACATGGGTGCTAGGGAAATTGACACGGCCAGAATAGAGGGCTGTGGTGGAATACTATTGAAAAGACGCAACTTGTGCTGGCGCACATGGAATACAGGGGAACTGGAGAGAAGATAGGAAGAGGGGCGAATACTTTGGCTTATATATCTTATTAATTTAGGGCTACTACGCAGTGGAGCAGTAATTCGCGCATGTTACCAGAGAATCCACTACTTATATTCTCTTCTGCTGGGTTCAAGCGTTGGCCCACACGTACTTGCGGTATGAGGTGCTACGGAGACTGGTGTTTTCAATTTCATGCTCAATACAATAGTTTCTTACTTTGACAAAACAAAAACATTCATATTTTAATCAACATTTTTCTGAGACAGCCCGCTCACACTCAGTTTCCACCATAGCGCCAACTCCTTTGCAGGCGTACGGTCACGATGCCGAAACGTTGTTCCTTTCACCTCCTGTGGGACGAAAGCGAGCCTCTTTCCCATGGAAAACTGCTCGGCATGCTCAATTACCCGATCTACTGCCATATGACTACACCGTGTATACAGCGTTTCTTCGTTGTCGTCAGGAAACACTGGCGGAACCACCCTATCTAAAATGTCACCCCCATCCAGTGTCGACGTTAGCTGGTGCAAAGTCGACGACACCTTGTCCACCTCCCCGTTATACAAAGCGAAGAATATGCAGTGATTGCCCTTGTAGTCCGGTAGATGCCCTGTATGCAGGTTAATCATGAGTCCAGCACGGGCGATTAGCTTCTTTCCGATAAATTTTGTGCCTGACACGATGGTGAGGTCGGGTTTCCATTCAGCCACCGCATCCCACACCTGGTTACAGTTGACACTGTCGACAGTGAGGTCTGGTGTTGGGGAGGTATGGTCGTCTGGGACCAGGTCGTTAAAGTAAGCCTCACGGAAAGTATCGTGGCCGGAGAGGTAACGTCGTAGGCCATGGTATCTCGTATAAAACGCATCGACTATACGGCGCTTTTCAACTAGCCGGCGCACCTGTCCCTCAGTTGTTTCCTGAACACAGCGGTAGCCGGGGAAGGTCTGGTCCAGACGGTATCGTAGGTAGCGGTGCTGGGGACCATCCGAGCAGAGCAAAAGCAGCCGCAGGGGTTTGCGAGCCCCTACTTTGTCCATGGATAGCGGCTTAATAGAGTGGTAGTTGTAAGCCGTGCCAGTGGGGAGCCTGCCTCGATCAGGGTGGAACAGCACATGAATAGGATCGTGCTCCCCCTCCAATGAGCGCCAGACCGCACGCGCTACAGCTGGTGCCTGGGCAAAGCCGCCAGTGTTGTTCCCGCCAGTAATGATCAGATACCCTCCATTTGCTGTAGGAATCTCCTCATAGACTCCGAGGCCCGTGGGTGTAAAAGGTCGGACGCAGAACTTGCGGTTTCCACCCGGGTACAGCGTGCCACGATCTTTTGCTACCGCATATCCTTGCGGGAAATAGATACGTGCCACCTCTTCCAACTCATTGAAGAGGGCCATGAGTTCCGGAGAATCAGGCGCGGGGCGACTCTCCCCAACATAACCGTAACCACCACCAAACATAAGGATGTCTTCACCGGTATCGACATCCTTCGCCACAGTCACATTGATATCTTCGACAAGGTGACCTCGGCGATGGATCTTGATAGAATGCTTCTGCTGCCGGTTCAAGTTGGGGATTTGTAGCCATATTCCAAGGACCCCGTGGACCAGGTTTTCGCAGCGCGTTCCATTCAGCAGTATATTTCCGGTCACGCCGGGGCTCACCACGAAGTGATCCGCTTCTAGCGGTCCAAGTTGCGATTCTAACATGGTCACTTTGCCCAGGGCGTCACGCTTTATGCCCTGCACTTCACAGTTCCAGAGAAACTCCCCACCGAGACCAATAATTCGGTCCATCAACTTGGCCACGAAAGGGTGAATATTCACTGTGAATCCTTCCACCATGATTCCTCCCGCGAGATGGTCCGACCCAGCTGCGGACTTGAAGCCGGGATTGGCATCCAGAAACTCCTGTGGAGAAGGGGCCTGAATGACCGCCCCAAGCTGGCGATGTAGCGTTAGCGCTGTGTCCAGAGCAACAGGCTCCACGTACATGCGGAGGATGTCTTTGCGGAATTCGACCTCTTGGAATAAATGTGGACAGCTTTGGATGTATTCATTCCAGAGCTTGCCAGCTTCCATGTTGACGTCGTGAATATTATCCCTGAAAGCCCTCGCCAACCAAGCGGGAATCTGCTCAAACGCATGCACCCAAGCATGCTCAGCGGCAGTAAAATCCTCGGGCAACTTCACGCTCCATCCGCCATTCCGGACGGATTTTCGGAAAATTGACTGCATATCTTCGTAAATTTTACTCCCTTTCTCATTGTAGTTGTCGGCTTCGGTCCGAGTGTACATACGGGCATTGCCACCACCATTGGTGACGCCCAGGCGCGTCCAGTCCTGACAGCCTCGAGGATCGGGGCCCGCATCCACGACGCGCACTTGGTAACCACGGGCAGCTAAAAATTCTGCGGTAAAAAGATTCATGATACCCGCTCCAACAAGCAGAACAATCGGCTTGCCATTCTTGTCTTTCATGGGATTTTGCTGCCGGACTGCTTTATTGGCGCGTGCACGCGCGTAGAGCATTTCTGCTTCCTGAAGGATGGATTCCTCCCATTGTATCGTAGTAGACTTATGCTCTGGGAACCCTGCGATTTGAAACACACGGCCCTCTGAAAAGTCCTGCAGACGAGAAAGGGCAGTGGGGTCTTCCACCAAGATTGATTTGGGGATATGATTGGCTTGGTCCAGCCATTGGTTTATCAGTTCAAAGGTAGCCTCTTGACCATTACATATCCACACGTCTACCGGCTCCGGACCGGTCAATGGGATGGAAAGGTCGTCAGCGGTGGGATCGCAGAAGTGAATGTATGTAGATGAATGGGTCACAGCACGAAAAGAGGAAGAACGTGTACTAATGAGGAACTTCATGGCTAAATTAACATGAGAAGTGAGTGATTTGGTTCAGACTGAATTTGACTCTGGGGTCTATGGAAAACGCACCCTTTTATAACCCATCTTGCCCTGTATTTCAGCATCTACACTGAGCTCCCCTCTTCTTGAGTATAAAAATGGAAGCATTTTTTTTTTCATCACCTCGCTTTGCATGATTGTTTTAGGGTACGTAATTCTGTAGAGTAGATCTCCGGCATCAACGCTACCTTGCGGCACAGGTGGAGTTGTTGTCTTCGGCGGAGTTGAGGCTTCTGCATGGGAACCTTTGTGGAATTGGAAACATTATAGCTCGTATAATGACCAAGAAGACGCTAATCAACGACTTCTGCTGCCCGGCACTTTTGTCATGCTGGAAAGACCGAAACTAGATAATGAGGGATAACTTTAGTTGCAGTAAGGTAGAATATGCAGGCTTTTCTGAATATGGCGTGCTTGTTGGTAAAGTTCTGAGCTCGGTACTGCCACCATGACACAGGTCAGCTACTTCTCGAAAATTAATCGATGATCCCCGTTACTATGGTTATCCCAGTCTCTCCGAGGCGCCATTTCCTTCAGCTTCCAATCTGTTCAACTATATCATTCGTGTCGTATACAAGCAAAGTCAGCACTAGAGACACTTGTGAATTTGTCCACCCATCAATTTGTGGAGGTGGATCTGGACGCCGCAAAACAGGAGCCAAGGCGTTGCGAATGAATTAGTCCAGGCGGCAAGAGGGTTCGGCCCGCCCACCCACCCGGCCCGTTCTGAAGATCGAGCTTGGATTATTTGGGTTGAAACGTCGCACGGCATGCCCGACACTTGTTTTGCCATGGAAGTAAACTCCCGTTCAAAGAAACTGGATCTTGATATGTTGGTTCTGGACCCCCTGCTCCAGCTACTTAGAGCACCATAATAACGCCATTTTTCTGTCACTTGTCGTGTTATCCGTATATCCCAATTCGACTACGGCGTTACTGCTTCTTGCCCAGCTCGGAAACTTATGGCCGATGCCATGCCGCCAGATCCACCATGCAGACCCACCGCATCTCAATGGCCACTCGTTCTTCTGATACAGAGCACGCTTGGAAGCAATGGCCTTTGGAGCTATGATGAATACTCCAAGGTGCTTCCGAACCGACCAGGATCAACAAGACGCTATGACTTTAGTGCTCGTTTAGGTACCTTACAGGCTACCGTGCGCACACATCCTACGACCTGTTCGGTCGGAGAGTATATGTACGGAGTACTCGTGTACTGCGGCTCTGCCAATCCCCTAGGTAAATTTCCGACGATCCGTCGTGTGCCGTCCCCTAGCCCGTGCGAGTCTCTACTACGAACTCTTCTATACGGTCTAATCCTACTCTAACCCTTGAAGCAAAAGCCGGGGGATGATGGTGGTATCATTATTGGTTGACACATACCTGGTAGCTGTTACAGGGTCGGTTAGCCCTAGCACGAATTGTACGTCTAACAAAAATATCATTGGCCGCTCCGAGGATTTCAAATAGAATGACTCAAAGAAAAGAAATCCAGGAAAAACGATAAGGAGATGATATGTTTAAAAGTACTCCGTACTGACCAAGGAATCACATAATAACAGGAATCAGGAAACACCACAGACTACGTACTGCAACCACGGAAGGCCCACATTTTTTTCTTGCGCCAAAACCGAAAGAAAAACCCCGAAACCAACAGTGGGTCAGTCCGGGTATTGTCCAATTAGTGCCGGAAAAGGGTTCTTGACATATTCTCTCTCACTTGCATGCCAAAGTAGGTATTTCTATGACTAATTGATTCATGAAGCTCTCTTGCTTCTGTGAACTACCGTTGCTAAGCTTTCTCTGTTACTAACGCAGAGAGCGAGCGTTGCCAGCAGGAGTAGTATGGCTCATGGCATGCCTAGCAATGCTCAACCAGAATCGGGCATCGACGACTGGAGGGGCCCTGATGATCCCGACTGTCCATACAACTGGCCGATGTGGAAGCGCATCTACATGACCAGTATTCCCGCATTCCTCTGCATTACTGTGTAGGCATGCATGGTCCATCGACTGAGAAATGCAGATTCTGACTCCGGCAGGTCCTTTGCCTCGTCCATCTACACATCTGGAGCCAAAGACATTGGTCAACGGTTTGGCGTCTCCCACACGGCAGCTCTGCTGGGGCTTTCCCTCTTCCTTTGGGGTCTTGGTCTTGGGGCCATCGTCGCGGCACCGGTCAGCGAGCATTATGGACGCAGAATTGTATATCTCACGACGGTGCCCATATTCGGGCTGTTTATCCTGGGCTCCGGCTTAGCAAAGAACTTTGCCACGTTGATTGCCTGCCGCTGCTTGGGTGGTTTTTTTGGCAGCGCGGTCGTCTCAGTTGGTGGCGGCACAAATGCAGACCTCTGGCCTCCTGCTCTGACAGGTCTTGTTTATCCATTCTATTTCGTCTCGCCTTTCCTTGGCCCAGCCCTCGGTGCGACTGACTCTCTACGGCTGGCATGACTTTATCACTAACCGCTGCACTCTAGGACCGGTTATTGGTGGCTTTGTCAGCGAGAAAAAGGACTTTCGCTGGCTCGAATGGGTGATTCTTTTCATGGTCGCCTTCAGCTACCTTTACTCCATCCCACAGTTTGAAACCTACAAGAAAACGATCCTCCAAAAACGCAACCGTGCCGAGAAAAGAGCCAACCCCAGCACAACCCCGCAGCCAAAGCTCAAGTCTACGATCCCTTCCGGCGCCGTCATACAACGTATCGTTCTCAAGCCGTTCAAAATGCTCTTCTTTGAGTCAATCGTTCTCTTTATGACCATCTACATGGCGTTCAACTTTGCCGTGTTTTACAGCTTCTTTGCTGCCTTTCCGTATGTCTTTGGCCGCCAGTACCACTTCAACCCCGGTCAGGAAGGCCTCACCTTCATCCCGATAGCGCTGGGCTGTGTAATTGGCTTCCTTGCCGTAGTCTACATTGACCGAAGAACATACCCCGCCCTCGAAGCAAAGTATGGTGCTGTGCCCCCCGAGTACCGTCTCTACGGTGCAATGGTTGGCTGTGCCCTCAACCCTGCCAGTCTCTTCTGGTTTGGGTGGACGGCAGATGCAGGTGTGTCCTGGGTGAGTCCTGTTATTGCGGCTGTGCCATTCGCGGTCGGCAACATCATGGTGTATAGTAGCGGGGCGCTTTATATCATGAACTCGTATGGGTCATTGCATGGGGCAAGTGCCCTCAGCGCAAATAGTCTGCTTCGGTACGCAGCTGGCGGTGCGTTTCCATTGTTTACAGTACAGATGTTCTCGGTTCTGGGGATTGGGTGGGCAAGTAGTTTGCTGGGGTTTGTGTCGGTGGCACTGGTGCCAGTGCCGTGGGTGTTGTATAAGTACGGCCATAGGATTAGACAGCATAGTCGGTATATCACCATTCCGAGAGCGGAGGCTCCATTAGAGGATGGCGTGAGGGTATAAAATAGTTGTAGAACGGGTAGTGCTCGGGCCGGGCCCTCTATCATGTTCCTGATCAACCTTCTAGATTGAGTTAAGGTTATATTTTATACCATAATAGTTTTCTATGTAGAATTAGATTACTGTCTGATATTATATACAATCTATATCTAGAAATTTTATCTTTAATATTTTTAAACTAAACAAAACAATTCTAAATATTAGTAGAAAGACAAACATCTACAAAAATTAAAATGAGTTTTAGAGAAAAACAATAACTTAAAAATTATAGTCTTGAAAATCTATAATAAAAAAGAAACAAGCTAAATCAATCCAACCCAGATCTCTTTTTGGCATCTTGTACAACTCTCAACCACCCAGGAACCCACCCCACCACCACGCGGGGCCCGACCACCGCCACTTAGGGTTAGGGTTAGGGTTAGGGTTAGGGTTAGGGTTAGGGTTAGGGTTAGGGTTAGGGTTAGGGTTAGGGTTAGGGTTAGGGTTAGGGTTAGG